GGGCGCGCCGGCCCCGCCGGGGTCGGAGGCTCGTGGCGGGACGGGGAGGACCTACCACAGTTGGCTTCATCCGAGTTGTCCTGGCAGTCGTTGTCTCCATCGCAGATGAAGGCTGGGTTGGTGCAGATCCCCGTGGAGCACTGGAACTGCCCTGGCCTGCATTTGAATTCAGCTGCGGGGCGATAAGGCAGGGTGGGACGTTTGCTCCGGGGGACATTTCCAGGACAAACCTTAACCCCCCACGTCCCCCCCCGCTGGCGAGCAGGGACTGAGCAGGGACCGAGCAGGGATTGAGCAGGGATTGAGCAGGGATTGAGCAGAGACCGAGCAGGGACCGAGCAGGGACCGAGCAGGGATTGAGCAGGGACTGAGCAGGGACTGAGCAGGGATTGAGCAGAGACCAAGCAGGGACCGAGCAGGGACTGAGCAGGGATTGAGCAGGGATTGAGCAGGGATTCAGCAGGGATTCAGCAGGGACCGAGCAGGGACCGAGCAGGGACCGAGCAGAGACCGAGCAGCGATTGAGCAGGGACCGAGCAGGGACTGAGCAGGGACCGAGCAGGGATTGAGCAGGGACCGAGCAAGGACCCACCATCCCGCAGGCAGAGCCACGCAGACGGGGCTGCGGGGCAGCTCCCGGTTTCGGCGCGGGCAGACCCACCCTCCCCGCGCAGGCCGCTTACTGCAGTTGGCAGGTTCATCCGAGCCATCCACGCAGTCGTTGTCCCGGTCGCAGACCCAGACGCGGGGGATGCAGCGCTTGGTGATCGCGCACTGGAACTGGTTGGGGGCACAAGTGACCTCCGCTGCAGGAGGGAGAAGCGGCGTCAGGGTGCTGCCAGCCACCACCCCTCCAAAAATCACCCCACGGAGCAGAGAGCCACGCAGGCGCTCCGGGCGTCCAAGGGCACTGATCTCCATGCTGTCCCTTCCCAGGCCCCCCCAGCACCCTAAGTCCTGACCTAAAGCAAAGCCTTAACCCTGAGCCCACCCCACAGAGCCTCTGGGGTTTGGTGGGGGGGGGACACACACGACGGGACAGACAGACAGAAGGTTATTCCAGAGCTGGAGGGTCTCTGGCTGCCCTGGGCACCCCCAAACGACTGCGGTCTGTATGTGCTGCCACGGGAGGGAGGCGTTGCCCACGCCTGGAGGAGCACGCACACCAGCACCCGGGTGCACAGCGCGGGCACCAGCACCGGCAGAGGAGCCGGGACCTGGTGAGACCACGGACAGAGGCAGGACCACCCAGAGCCAGCCTGCAGCAGAGCCAAGGCCCAAAATCTGAGGCAGCACCGAGCTCCTCGCCCCTAGCCGTGCTCCCCCTCCCTAAGGCACGCTCCCCACTTACGGCAGTCCTTCTCGTCCTCGCCGTCGCCGCAGTTGTCCTGACCGTTGCAGCGGAAAATGCCGGGGATGCAGCGGTTGGTGTTGGTGCATTTGAACTGGCTGGGGGGGGGGGGGGGGGGGT